GCCTCCATGTGCCAGGCACTGGACTGGGGCGGGGCGGGGGAGGGGGTGTTGCGTGGTGGAGCGGGGCAGGGGGGCCGGTGGTGGAGGAGAGCTGGAGTGGAAAAGACAAAGAAGTCTACAGCTTGGGGCCTGTTTCCAGCCTAGTTGGCCTGCTGCGTTTGGAAGGTGTTTCTTGTGGAGCTAATCACACCTTCTTTATCCTTGAGCAGTGACTGCCAGCCCCCCAGGGTCTCTCCGGATCTCCGACTGGGTCATCTTGAACTGCTCCTTCAGCCGCCCTGACCTGCCAGCCTCTGTGCACTGGTTCCGAGGCAGAGTCCCTGTCCAGGAGTCCCCCCATCACCACTTAGCTGGAAGCCTCCTCTTCCTGCCCCAAGTGAGCCCCTTGGACTCTGGGCCGTGGGGCTGCCTCCTCACCTACAGAGATGGCTTCAATGTCTCCATTACATACAACCTCACTGTTCTGGGTAACTCCTCCAGTCTGATTTCATACTTGACCACAACCCCTTCCTGCCCCCCTGACACCTCCCCCTGACTTATGGGTCCCCAAACCAGGTCTCTGGCAGCTGGTGCCCACTGTGATTGCCTGGGCCTCACTGTCCAACTCCCTCATAGTATCTCGCATTGCAGCCTTCTCACCACCTTCCCCTCTTCTGGCTTTTCCTTGTGGCCTCACTGGCCAGCCTTTGGTCTCCCCCCTGGCCCAGCCCACATGGGGGTTTCAGAGCATCCTCAGCTCATCCACATTATCTGCTTCCTTGCACCCTTCAGAGCCTGACAACCTCCTTTGTCTTCTGCCTCCCTTACCTACAGCTCCAGGGCTCCAGCCCCTCTGTGCCTCCTGCTCTCAGCTTCAACTCTGGCTTCTCTTTTTTCCCAGGTCTGGAGCCCTCAGTGCCTCTGACTGTGTATGCTGGAGCAGGTTCAAGGGTGGAGCTGCCCTGCCACCTGCCTCCCGGTTTGGGGACCCAGTCTTCTCTCACTGCCAAGTGGGCCCCTCCTGGTGGAGGCCCCGACCTCCTGGTGGCTGGAGACAATGGCAACTTTACCCTTCCACTGGAGGCTGTGAGCCAGGCCCAGGCTGGGACCTACACCTGCCACGTCCATCTGCAGGGGCAGCAGCTCAGTGTCACTGTCACCTTGGCAGTCATCACAGGTCAGCCCCAGGTGGGAAAGGAGTAGGTCCCATCCCAGGGGAGCTGGGACAGGGAGGGAAGGCTGGCTGGGCAGAGACTGGGCAAATCCGCTTCACGATGCCAGGCCACTGGGCAGAAGTCGCAGAGGCTGCCCTTGTGGCCTCCTCTTTTCTCGCCCCCACATAAGGAACCACCGAAACAGAAAGTCTCCCCTGAGTCACTAGATGAACATTCCACCCTGCTCTGAATGGGG